GATGCTGACTCTCAACATCAACATCACTAACCAATATCAACATCGAATATATTGATCTTAAACATCAATATCAATAATGACCATCTAACATCAGGAAACAAGTCATAATATGCGACGATAACATCAACACCATTCATTATTACGAACATCCGAGGTTTAGCAATTACCCTTCCCTCCCCTACCCTACCTTCCCTTACCTTACCCCCCCCCCTCTCATGTATCACAATGGTAATAAGTATCATCTATATTAATCTACAACTCGTGATAATAATAAGAGTATTTTATTAATTCATGGGTGATAGAACAATCGTGTGTGTCTGTTCATATGTCTTTTCGTTCGAGGGATGATGATGGTCGCTGGGTTAAAATTTGTTTACTTTTCGCGGGTTCAATTCGCTTTCGTGGGTTTGCATTCTCTTTAGACGATCCTCATTTGTTTTTTGTTTTTTATCTAAACAACTCTATAAATTCTATTACCCTTTTTTCAATCGTTTATTGTTTATGTTCATATTTGATCTTGGTGTCGTAATATTTATTTTATTCATTTAAATGTTTTTTTCATAAATTTATTTATTTATCGCAGTCGTTAATTCTCTTCCTCGTCACAATACATTCTACTAAAAGTTTAATTCTTCTATTGTTTTATATCCAGTACATCGTAAAATCCGTTTCATTCATTTATTGTTTTTCCTTCCTCCATATTATAACACCTCAGTGTAGTGACCGCACCAGTTAGTGCTAAGGATAACATTGGATGGATACGGAGCGTCGTCCGTCAAGCACAACGAACAATACGCGTCCGTGGGTGAAAAGAACAGCGTCGTCCTTACTACACAACGAATAATAAGCGTACGTAGATAAATATGCAGACAAACTCTATACTACCCAACGTACTATAAACGTCCAAGGATGGATATGCAACATCGTCCGTACAACACAATGAACATTAAAACTTGCTTGGGTAAAGCAGTAGCGTCCGTACCACACAACGTACAACAAGCGTTCGTGGGTGAAAAGAACCACATAGTCCGTAAACCACAACGGAAAAAAGTACAAAAAGCGGCCATGAATTATACAAAAACAGCATCGTCCGCCACAACACAATAAACAAGGTATAACACAAGTGTACACGAAAGCCAATGTCATAATAAACCACACACACAGGAAGAGTCAACAAAGGGAATATCAACACCCAAACTGTATTGATAGTTAGGGGGAACACGCTCTGGTGTATATAATTAAATATATTAATTATTTTCCTGTGTATTGTGAAAGATTGTGTGTTGTTTTCATAAGGCGGAAATATCGTAAACTATCGTAATTGTAAAAAAAAAAAAGGAAGAGGGATTGGAGTTTGTTTTAAAAGTGGCTTACATGTATAATCTGTGGTCATAGGTAATTAGTATGATAAAATACAGTCATCTCTCTCTTCACATGTGTATATTTATCTCTATACTGTAACTGCGTGTATAAATATCACTAAGAAATATGAGTATCATTAAGAAATATTAATGTAACTGAGAAATATTAATGCGAGTTGTAATCTTTCTTAATCTGACATATATATCTCCCCGAACTGTAATTATCATCTCGAATACGACGATAAAATTCAATGCTCCACCTGTCGTCATTATTTAATATATCTCAATAAACTGTAATACCCATCTTGAGTATGAGAGTATGATGAAATAATATCAATTAACTGAGGCACAAAACTCTCCGAAAATGTGTTTATTATCAGCGAAAAGTACAGGAAAATACGAATAGGCTATAGAGTGTATCTTTAAGGTTACATCCATCTCAACAAACTATAAACATCATCTAGTAAAACCAACAACAAATACTGATACTAATATTAATCATTTATCCGCCTAACCTAACCTAACCATGACGCAAATTTGAAAAAAAGGAGTTTAAAATCTGAATCATTCATCATTTGAAGCTCCGAGCATCAGTGGATTTAAGTGAGATAAACACGAAATCTGTTATTAGACTTCAAGGGGTTTAAACCACGCCAGATTATGAACCACCCGATTAGGATATACCTAACTACGGATCAGCATGTTAAGTGAGTATTTTGATCAATTATTATTCACACAAGTTCAAGAAAAGGAAAAGGAACAACTGTATGTGTGTATGTGTGTGTGTGTGTGTGTGTGTGTGTGTGTATGTGTGTATGTGTGTTGTGTTAGTTCTTCCCCATTGCTCTAGGTTGCTTCTCTTACACCAAACGATGATACTGTCATTCTCCCTCTGGTTGTGAGTCTTCTTGCCTCTCATCCACTTCCTCCACAGACAAACACAAGGAAATAGAGGCAATACACACACACAAGGAAAACTCAAGCCAATATTTCCCCACCAGGTAAAACACATGAGTAATGGTTCACACTTGTGCTTAGTTTACGCTCATTTAAAACATATGCAGATTAACTCACCTACTGTCAATTAATTTCCCAATCTCAGGTAAATTAAATTGGCTTACCTGAAAAATCCCCACCCCAGCTTATTTCACCTGAAGATTAACTACCCTTAATGCTAACCTAACCTAACCCAGGGAGCCTTATGTGTGTTGAATCATCAGGTGAAATTATCTTTGATGCATTATATTCACACGATCCAGGTTAAATCCCCACAGGTATACAGACACACCTGATACCGAAAGAGAGAGAGAGAGAGAGAGAGAGAGAGAGAGAGAGAATGCACATTTGCATATCAAGTTAAACGCGTATAAGCATCACTCATTCTAACCACAAATTGACGATTCATTGTGGTAACGTCTCATTATTGACTTCCACCAGTGAGAAATGCTTATATATGAATGGCATAAATTACCCTAGAGAAATACCATTAGTGTTTTTAAATGAATAATGCCGGATAGTGCCACCTGTTGTGTACTATAACGTCTGATAGTACCACCTGTTGTGTACTCTAACGTCTGATAGTACCACCTGTTGTGTACTCTAACGTCTGATAGTACCACCTGTTGTGTACTGTAACGTCTGATAGTACCACCTGTTGTGTACTATAACGTCTGATAGTACCACCTGTTGTGTACTCTAACGTCTGATAGTACCACCTGTTGTGTACTCTAACGTCTGATAGTACCACCTGTTGTGTACTGCAACGTCTGATAGTACCTCCTGTTGTGTACTGTAACGTTCGATGAAACACCGTACCGATACTTACCACCTGTTGTGTACTCTAACGTCTGATAGTACCACCTGTTGTGTACTGTAACGTCTGATAGTACCACCTGTTGTGTACTATAACGTCTGATAGTACCACCTGTTGTGTACTCTAACGTCTGATAGTACCACCTGTTGTGTACTCTAACGTCTGATAGTACCACCTGTTGTGTACTGCAACGTCTGATAGTACCACCTGTTGTGTACTGTAACGTCTGTGTACCACCTGTTGTGTACTGTAACGTCTGATAGTACCACCTGTTGTGTACTGTAACGTCTGATAGTACCACCTGTTGTGTACTCTAACGTCTGATAGTACCACCTGTTGTGTACTCTAACGTCTGATAGTACCACCTGTTGTGTGCTCTAACGTCTGATAGTACCACCTGTTGTGTACTCTAACGTCTGATAGTACCACCTGTTGTACTCTAACGTCTGATATACCACCTGTTGTGTACTCTAACGTCTGATAGTACCACCTGTTGTGTACTGTAACGTCTGATAGTACCACCTGTTGTGTACTGTAACGTCTGATAGTACCACCTGTTGTGTACTGTAACGTCTGATAGTACCACCTGTTGTGCTGTAACGTCTGATAGTACCACCTGTTGTGTACTGTAACGTCTGATAGTACCACCTGTTGTGTACTCTAACGTCTGATAGTACCACCTGTTGTGTACTCTAACGTCTGATAGTACCACCTGTTGTGTACTCTAACGTCTGATAGTACCACCTGTTGTGTACTCTAACGTCTGATAGTACCACCTGTTGTGTACTCTAACGTCTGATAGTACCACCTGTTGTGTACTCTAACGTCTGATAGTACCACCTGTTGTGTACTCTAACGTCTGATAGTACCACCTGTTGTGTACTCTAACGTCTGATAGTACCACCTGTTGTGTACTCTAACGTCTGATAGTACCACCTGTTGTATCTCTAACGTCTGATAGTACCACCTGTTGTGTACTCTAACGTCTGATAGTACCACCTGTTGGTACTCTAACGTCTGATAAGTACCACCTGTTGTGTACTGTAACGTCTGATAGTACCACCTGTTGTGTACTGTAACGTCTGATAGTACCACCTGTTGTGTACTCTAACGTCTGATAGTACCACCTGTTGTGTACTGTAACGTCTGATAGTACCACCTGTGTGTACTGTAACGTCTGATAGTACCACCGTTGTGTACTGTAACGTCTGATAGTACCACCCGTTGTGTGTAACGTCTGATAGTACCACCTGTTGTACTCTAACGTCTGATAGTACCACCTGTTGTGTACTCTAACGTCTGATAGTACCACCTGTTGTGTACTCTAACGTCTGATAGTACCACCTGTGTATCTCTAACGTCTGATAGTACCACCTGTTGTGTACTCTAACGTCTGATAGTACCACCTGTTGTGTACTCTAACGTCTGATAGTACCACCTGTTGTGTACTCTAACGTCTGATAGTACCACCTGTTGTGTACTCTAACGTCTGATAGTACCACCTGTTGTGTACTCTAACGTCTGATTATAACGCTGTATTATTCTTCTTAAGTCTCTATGTAAGGTGACATGAGTGTATGCGTCACAATGTATGCATCAAGTAGGGACACACTCACGCACGCACTCACACACACACTCACACACGCACTCACACTGCCAGCATCGCTTGTTTTCCCCGCGCGCTCAAACACACTCCCCAATGTTGTGGCAGAGAAACAGATGTTGTGACTGCATAACCACGACACCTCAGCCCTGTTATTAGCTACGGCCCACCACCACAACACTGTCATAACGTCGTGCGTGACGTGAGGGAGGCGTGAACTCACCTGGGGCGTAATAGGGGAGGGCAGGGGGCAGGGCCGTCATCATGGGGTGCGGCCTGCTGTTTCTGGGGTCGGAGGTGGACGGCACAGAGAAGGCTGTTGGTTGGCCGCCTATGTCAGGGATGAGCATCTGGGGCAGCCTGATGGTGCTGGTGGTGCTGGAGTTGTGGCGCGGACAGGGTAGTGGCGCAGTTCCTACGTCTTGGGTCTTTAGGGGACCCGAAAATCCGACCAACGACGATTCCTGAAAAAGCGAGTGGTGGAGTCACTCGCGCCGGGCTCGAGGTCGGCCCCAGCAGCAGCGGCGGCGTGAGGAGTATCACAGCCGCCACACAACGCTCCTGTTAAACACAGGTTGTGATAAACTGTGTGATGTGGTGCTCCTGTAACACAACCTGTGGCAGACTATGTGGTTGTCAGCGGTGTTTTCGGCCTTGACACCTCAGCCTCCAGTTCTGCGTCAGTGGGTGATCTTGGTAACCCACTCTTTTGTCAACATAACTCCCTGGCAACCTTCACCCTATCACGATCTTCACGATTGAGGTCGCTAGCACGAACAACGCACGACGCACACTCGGCGCAGCGGCTCCTCACGCACCTGCGACTAACTAGTGACTACACCTGCGCTCATTCGCAAAATATACACTGACTACCTAACCTGACTACCTCCGCCACCTGCTGCTCCTATGGGCCAACATGCCGCGCTGAGACAAAGGGATACTCGATCTTATTGGTCTCGATAGACAGGTAGAACAGAAGCCTCTCTCTCATTGGCTGCGAGGCGGAGTCATCGCTTGTGAGTCAGAGTCGCGTGATTGGTGGATGGAGTGGATGGGGCGGGGCAGGAGCGGAGAGGAGAGGTGAGGCGGAAGTGGCTCATCAGGGAGGCGGGGCCTGACAGTGGCGGGAAATGAACAAAGTTGAACCCGGGGAGGCACGACCCGGGAAGTTAGTCACCATAAGTCACCACCATGGCTAACCACCCTCGCTCAACCCCGCCACCTGTGTTGTGTCCTGTCCTCACACAACGAGCCTAAATCACGTTCTGTCCTCATAAAAAGAGCCTACATTACGTCCTGCGAGCCTATATCACGTCCTGTCCTCACACAACGAGCCTACATCACGTTCTGTCCTCATACAAAGAGCCTATATCACGTCTGTCCTCACACAACGAGCCTATCGTCCTGTCCTCCACACAACGAGCCTACATCGTCCTGTCCTCACAACGAGCCTATATCACGTCCTGTCCTCACACGAGCCTATATCGTCCTGTCCTCCACTACAGGCCTAAATCACGTCCTGTCCTCACACAGCAGGCCTACATCACGTCCTGTCCTCCACAGACCCTACACACGTCTGTCCTCACACAAAGAGCCTACATTACGTCCTGCCTCTCCTGTCCTCACACAACGAGCCTATTCACGTCCTATCCTCACACAGGCCTACAACACGTCCTGTCCTCACACAACAGCCTACATCGTCTGTCCTCCTCAAAGAGCCTATATCACGTCCTGTCTCACACAACGAGCCTATATCGTCCTGTCCTCACACAACGAGCCTACATCATCCTGTCCTCACACAACAGGCTACATCACGTTCTGTCCTCATACAAAGAGCCTATATCACGTCCTGTCCTCCACACAACACGAGCCTATATCACGTCCTGTCCTCACACAACGAGCCTATATCACGTCTGTCCTCACACAACAGGCCTACAACACGTCCTGTCCTCCACACAACAGCCTACATCATTCTGTCCTCATACAAAGGAGCCTATATCACGTCCTGTCCTCACACAACGAGCCTATATCACGTCCTGTCCTCACACAACGAGGCCTACATCACGTCCTGTCCTCCACAACGAGCCTACATCGTCCTGTCCTCACACAACAGGCCTATATCACGTCCTGTCCTCACACAACAGGCCTACACCGTCCTGTCCTCCACACAACAGGCCTATATCACGTCCTAGCCTCTAAAACAGGCCTACACCGTCCTGTCCTCCACAACGAGCCTACACACGTCCTGTCCTCACACAACGAGCCTATATCGTCCTGTCCTCACACAACAGGCCTACATCACGTCCTGTCTCATACAAAGAGCCTATATCGTCCTGTCCTCACACAACGAGCCTATATCACGTCCTGTCCTCACACAACGAGCCTACATCACGTCTATCCTCACACAACGAGCCTACATCACGTCCCTAGCCTCACAAAACAGGCCTATATCGTCCTGTCCTCACACAACGAGCCTATATCACGTCCTGTCCTCACACAACGAGCCTACATCACGTCCTAGCCTCACAAAACGAGCCTACATCACGTCTGTCCTCACACAGGCCTACATCACGTCCTGTCCTCACACAACGAGCCTATATCACGTCCTGCCTCCAAAACAGGCCTACACCACGTCCTGTCCTCACACAACAGGCCTACATCACGTCCTGTCCTCACACAACAGGCCTATATCACGTCCTGTCCTCACACCACGAGCCTACATCACGTCCTGTCCTCACACAACGAGCCTATATCACGTCCTAGCCTCACAAGCAGGCCTGCATCACGTCCTGTCCTCACATAAGCCTACATCACGTCCTGCAGGCCACATCGTCCAGTCCTCACGAGCCTACATCGTCCTGTCCTCACATAACGAGCCTACATCACGTCCTGCGAGCCTATATCAGTCCTGTCCTCACACGACGAGTCTACACCACGTCCTGTCCTCTGCGAGCCTATATATTGTCCTGTCCTCACACAACGAGCCTACATCACGTCCAAGCCTCACACAATCAGGCCTATATCACGTCCTGTCCTCACACAGAGCCTATATCACGTCCTGGCCTCACACAACGAGCCTATATCACGTCCTAGCCTCACAAAACAGAGCCTGCATCGTCCTGTCCTCACTCCAGGCCTACATCACGTCCTGCAGGCCTACATACGTCTGTCCTCTCGAACAGGCCTACACCACGTCCTGTCCTCACACAAGAGCCTATATCACGACCTGTCCTCACACAACGAGCCATATATTGTCCTGTCCTCACACAACGACCTGCATCGTCCTGTCCCTCACAACGAGCTTATCACGTCCTGTCCTCACACAACGAGCCTACATCACGTCCTGTCCTCACACAACGAGCCTACATCACGTCCTGTCCTCCACAAAACAGGCCTACATCACGTCCTGTCCTCACACAACAGGCCTATATCACGTCCTGTCCTCCCACAACGAGCCTACAACGTCCTGTCCTCACACAACAGCACCACGTCCTCCAACAGAGCCACGTCCTGTCCCACCAACAGGCCTATCACGTCCTGTCCTCCACAGCAGGCCTACATCACGTCCTGTCCTCCCAACGAGCCTACACACCTGTCCTCCACACACTCCTGTCCTCACACAACGAGCCTACACCATCCTGTCCTCCACAGCAGGCCTACACCACGTCCTGTCCTCCACACGAGCCATCGTCCTGTCCTCCACAGCAGCCTACACACGTCCTGCCTCACACAGGCCACCGTCCTGTCTCCACACCTATATCTCTCACTACACAGCCTATATCACGTCCTGTCCTCACACAAGAGCCTACATCCGTCCAGAGCCTATATCGTCCTGTCCTCCACACACGAGCCTACACCTCCTGTCCCCTGGCACCCGCCACACCCCTGCCTCACAGACTAATCGTCTGCCTCACACAACAGCCCACACACGTCCTGTCCTCCTTAAAGGCCTACATCACGTCCTGCAGCCTACTCACGTCCTGTCCTCACACAACAGAGCCTATATCACGTCCTGTCCTCACACAGCAGCCTATATCCGTCTATCCTCCTCACAGGCCCCTCCAGTCCTGTCCTCACCAGAGCACCACACCACGTCCTGTCCTCACACAACGAGCCTATATCACGTCCTGTCCTCCCACACGACAGCCTACATCACGTCCTGTCCTCACACAACAGCCTATCCCGTCCTCCACACAGCCACCACGTCCTGGCCTCACCAGCAGCCATATCACCCTACCTCACAAAACAGTCTACACCACGTCCTGTCCTCCATTGCGAGCCTACACGTCCCCTTCCTCCCAACAGGCCTACATCACGTCTGGCTTACCAGCCTATCATGTCCTGTCCTCACACAACAGCCTACATACGTCTCCTCACACAACGACCTATATCCTCCTCTCCTCCACACACAACATTTCACGTCCTAGCCCTCACCCCAGAGCCTATATCACGTCCTAGCCTCCACACACTGCAAGCCTACATCACGTCCTGTCCTCCACACAACGGGCCTACTATCACGTCCTGTCCCTCCTGGCAGGCCTACATCACGTCCTGTCCTCCACACAGCGATCCTATATCACGTCCTGTCCTCCACAGCAGAGCCTACATCCCGTCCTGTCCTCACACAACGAGCCTACATCACGTCCTGTCCTCACACAACAGGCCTACAACACGTCCTGTCCTTCAACGAGCCTACATCACGTCCTGTCCTCACACAACAGGCCTATATCATGTCCTGTCCTCACACAACAGGCCCCTCACGTCCTGTCCTCACACACAGTGAGCCTACATCACGTCCTGTCCTCCACGCTGAGCCTATATCATGTCCTGTCCTCTTGACTCCACCATCCTAGCCTCCTAGCCTATCACGTCCTGTCCTCCACAGCACTTACATCGTCCTGTCCTCCCTTAAGGCCTATATCGTTCCTGTCCTCACACAACAGACCACATCGTCCTGTCCTCCTGAGCCTATATCATGTCCTGTCCTCACACAAGCAGGCCTACATCACGTCCTGTGTCCTCACACAGAGCCTACATCACGTCCTGTCCTCCCAACCCTACCACACTTCCTGTCCTCCTCACACAACGAGCCTATATCACGTCTGTCCTCACACAACGAGCCTACATCACGTCCTGTCCTCACCAGCAGGCCTATCATGTCCTGTCCTCCACACAGCAGGCCCCACATCACGTCCTAGCTACACAGCAGCCTGCATCACGTCCTGTCCTCACACAGCAGGCCTACATCACGTCCTGTCCTCCACAGCAGGCCCTACATCACGTCCTGTCCTCACACTGGCAGGCCTACATCACGTCCTGGCCTCACACAGCAGGCCTACATCCGTCCTGGCTCCACCAGCAGGCCTACACCCATCCTGTCCTCACACAGCAGGCCTACACCGTCCTGTCCTCACACAACAGGCCTACATCACGTCCTGTCCTCACACCATGAGACCTACACACGTCCTGTCCTCACACAACAGGCCTACACCACCTGTCCTCACTAGCAGAGCCTACACACGTCCTGTCCTCCACTAACAGAGCCTACACCACGTCCTGTCCTCACACAGCAGGCCTACACCACGTCCTGTCTCACACAACAGGCCTACATCACGTCCTGTCCTCACACTGTGAGCCTACACCACGTCCTGTCCTCCACACAACAGGCCTCACGTCTGTCCTCACACAACGAGCCTACACCATCCTGTCCTCCACACAGCAGGCCTACACCACGTCCTGTCCTCCTGCAGGCCCACCAACACCCGTCCTGTCCTCCACAACAGCCTACCACGTCCTGTCCTCACACAACGAGCCTACCACGTCCTGTCCTCACACAACGAGCCTACACCACGTCCTGTCCTCCCACAACAGTACCACCCACGTCCTGTCCTCA